CCAGCCCGCAGGCCGCGCTCCCTATCCGCCCGCGACGCTCTGAGCCGGCAGCCCTCGCCGCTCTGCGGGCTGCAGGGAGCCCAGCTCAGCCCCGCACCTCCAGGATGCTGCCCCGTCCCCAGGGTCTCACTTGCCACCATCAGCTGGGGGAAGGTCCAGGGGATGGGGGCACCCACAGGGATGCAGCTGAGCATCTGAAGCACTCATGTGCGCTTTGGAGCCAGGTGGGCAAAGCCCTTGGCTTGCCTGGGGGTACCGAAAACGCTGCCAGCAGCCCAGCTGAGCTCAGCCCCGCACCTCCAGGATGCTGCCCCGTCCCCAGGGTCTCACTTGCCACCATCAGCTGGGGGAAGGTCCAGGGGATGGGGGCACCCACAGGGATGCAGCTGAGCATCTGAAGCACTCATGTGCGCTTTGGAGCCAGGTGGGCAAAGCCCTTGGCTTGCCTGGGGGTACCGAAAACGCTGCCAGCAGCCCAGCTGCAGCTGCACTGGGCCAGGCGCTGCGGTCTGCGGGCACCAGAGCTTGGCTGGGGCTCTGCAGACCCGAGCGCTGGGGTCCTGAGCTCGTCAGCATCTCCCTGGATAGCCGTAACAGCACCTGCCTCCCTCTCCGCATGGCAAAGCCTCCCCAAACTCCAGCTCGTAGCTGGCTGGGCCCCAGCACCTGGCGTTTCCAGCCTTGCAGGGAGTTCCCCCCTCCTTGCTGTATGAAATCAAGGTTTGGCTGTGGCCACGCAGACCCCTTGGCACCAAGGAGCCCTTCTAAGGAGGGCACAGGGCATGCAAGCATCACCCGTTCCTCCAAAGGCTGCAGGAGGAACAGTGGGATGCTGCACTCCGGAGCCATGTCCCCTCCAGCCACACACCCTCAGGGGCCTCTGAGGACACCCATCCCCTCCGTGGGGGTCCTGTTTCTTTCAGACCTCCATATAGATGGGGTTGGGGTGAGCAAAGGGGAATGCTCAGGGAAGAGGGATCCTTCAGCACACTTCAGGCAGGCCCTGCCCGGCAGCCAGACAGTCCCAGCCCTACTGGCATCGCACCCACCCCTGGGTGCACACGTACCAGACAAGGACAAGGGCTCGGTGACCCACCACCATCCGCAGCTTCGTTTTTGGCTTTGGAACCCAAGCATGATTCAGCTCAGCCTAGCCACACAGTGCCCGGCAGCCCATAGATGCTACAGGGGGGCCACATACCGGGGGCAACAGGCCACCCTCTCCAGTGAGGTGGACACAATCACACTGCTCACCCTCGGAGCAGGGGCAGGGGACCTGTCTCAGTTACTAGTGCAGATGCAGCCACCTGCCTCCACCTCACTGCTCCATCCTCCTACATCTGCCCCTGGGGCCAGGAGAGGATGTCTCTGCCGGCACTTGGAGGGAGAAGGAGGGACAGCAGAGAGGGATGGGACCAGGGACAGGACTGGAGGGTGCTGGCAGGGGTGACAGTGCCAGGGAACGGGCAGGAGGGTGGCGAGGATGTAGGCAGCCAGCTGAGGAGCCAGGGAGGACAGGAGGAGGATTTGCAATGGCAACGCTGAGCCTGGATGCACGTGGAGGGGATGTGGGCCAAGGAGGACGGGGGGTGCAGATGGCACTGGAGGCTCAGCAAGGGGTACAAGGGACACCCAACACCCCAAAAGGGTGCAGCACCAAAAAACGAAACCGGAAAAACCCACAGCCCATGGGGGTGTCTGAAAAACAAAAAGAGGCTCTGTGAGAGCAGGGATGGTAAATCCCTGGGCACCCCCTCTGCTCACCCTCCACTAACCTGTTGTGCCTCGTGGCCGCTGTGCCCTGCACCCCAGGGAGGGCTGCATCTCCCTGCCGCATCCAGCAGGTCTGTGCTCTGCCCAGGATGCTGTCAGGATCCCTGTCCCCAGCTATGCTGCCCAGAAGCCCTGCCAGATTCTCAGCCCTCTCCAATTTGAAGCCTCCCTGCTCCTTCCCGGCTCCCCAGGGCTTGCACTCAAACTTCTGGAATCAGATCAGTGGGATGGGGAGACAGGCACTCATTTGCCACGGTCCCCTGCTCTGTCCCCAGGGGATGAGTCCCCCAGCTCCACCAAGTGCCTGGATGGCGGGCAGAGCATGGGACAGGCACCGGTGCTGCACCCCGGACGGCTCAGCCCGCAATGAGGAAGATGCGAGAGATGCAGGAGGACGGGGCGGAGGTGGGGAGCGGAGCCAAGCGGGGAGAGCGGGAGGGAGAAGACAGCTACAAATAATTTAAAGTGAGATTCACGCATGGCTGAACTGATGGCAGAAGAAGTGGGAAAAGGAATGAAAGATTAAAGGGGTCTGTCACTTCGGGTTACAAACAATGATCCTACAAGCACGTTGTGTTCCCAGGCATGGCAAGGATGGGGCAGGGCGCAGAGCAGAGACCCAGTCCCCGGGGGTCAGATGCATTAATGCCTGCGGCATGGAGCCTGCACCCCTCGCTTCCACCGCTCGCCTCTCCTCTGGCTCCGGGCTCAGGAGATGCACCCAGCATCCCTGCTCTGATGGCTGTGTCCATAACAGCTGCAAGGCGCAGCTCAGAACTCCAGCTCCATTATGGAGGGACACGAGTCAGCTGGAAGTGGGCCAGGGCACCAACCTCAAGGCTTGCTCCATGCCAGAACGGCTCGGAGCAACCACATGGGATGGCCTGGGTGCTCGGGGCTCACCCTGCACCCTCTGCTGCCAAAACAGGAGTGCCACGAGGTGCCCATCTGCTCTGCTGCTCCAGCCCTACCTCCATCCTTTCCTGGTGCTGGGTGCTGGGTCTCCATCCCAGGGAATGGGATCCCACCAGTGCTGGGAGCCTGGGCTGAGCCATGCCCAAGAGCCCAGGACTGGGGCAAGAGTCCAGGGGCTGCGGGAGCCCCCACACCCATCGGTCACAGCCCTGACAGCGGTAAGGGCTGTGGTGGCACCTGAGACACAAGTGACCTGCAAGTCACTGCCCACCACCAGACCTGGTGGGCTGAGGGAGGGATGCAGAAGGTCAACGGTCTCTGCTGCTGGAGCTTCTCTCCCAGCCTGGTGGGACCCGGAGCAGGGAAGCTCGCCTGGGTGTGTGAGCGACTTGAGCCAGCAAGTCGGTGTCTCCTGCCGCCCGAGGAGACTAGAAGTGAACTGCATTCCTCAGAGGACCTGGAAATACCTCGATGCTTATCAGGGCTGACGTCCCCACCCTCCCTGCCAGGCCCTAACCTGGGCCCTGCTCGTGAAGGGAAGAGACACTGCCCTTCTCCAGGCACCAGCGGCCGCTCCACAGCAGGACCACAGACCTGATGCCAGGCGTGCTCCAAGGTAGCATCCCCTCCAGCAAGGCTTTGCCCATCTGCCCTGGACATGAGGGACCTCCCGGCACCGAAATGTTCTGTGCTCCCCTCTCCAGCCATCTCCCCACTGCTACAGCTGCCTGGAGGCTCCTGCATCCCCTCAAAGGCATGTAAGCCTCAAGCTGCCAACCTCTCCTCTCTGAGACTCTCCTCGCAGTCCCAGGGAGAGACGTTGCAGGGTGTGGAAGGATGTTTTGGAAAGAGGGAGACAGAGGCACCTGTCTGCTGGGCACCAGGCTAGGGAGGCTCCTAAAGCGGGTAGGTGAGCAGCATCTTTGGTAGTTTTCTCCTTCCTCAGGAGCTAGAGGAGCGATGCGTTTGCTGGGCACCTTCCCTGCCCTCAGCACCCTGCCTGCCTGCCACTGGCACCACACAGTTCTCTCCTGCCCACAGCCTGGGGCAACGGGACCTTCGGCGTGTGCCAAGGCCCAGGCTTCAAGAAGGGTACTTAGGTGAGAAGATAGATGCAAGTCCTACAGAAGGTCCTATCGGGTCACAACCCTGCTGTGCACTGTGCAGGGCAGCCCCTCTGCACACCTAGAGTCCGCTCCTGAGGGAA